ACAACACTGCCTGAAAACATACAACACGTCAGTCACTATGTACACAACACTGCCTGAAAACACACAACACGTCAGTCACTATGTACACAACACTGCCTGAAAACATACAACACGTCAGTCACTATGTACACAACACTGCCTGAAAACACACAACACGTCAGTCACTATGTACAGAACACTGCCTGAAAACACACAACACGTCAGTCACTATGTATACAACACTGTTTGAAAACATACAACACGTCAGTCACTATGCACACAACACTGCCTGAAAACACATAACACGTCAGTCACTATGCACACAACACTGCCTGAAAACACATAACACGTCAGTCACTATGTACACAACACTGCTTGAAAACATACAACACGTCAGTCACTATGCACACAACACTGCTTGAAAACATACAACACGTCAGTCACTATGCACACAACACTGCCTGAAAACATACAACATGTCAGTCACTATGTACACAACACTACCTGAAAACATACAACACGTCAGTCATTATGCACACAACAGTGCACACATTAAATGTTTTAACATATTTGAACACTGTAATCTTCTTTCTCATCCGTGCTAATTCCTTCTGCTTTTTGGTATCTTATTCTTCCTTTTCCCCCTCTTATCCTAGCATTTTCCCATCCCCTTTCTTCTTCATCCAACTTATTTTTCCCTCTTCTTTTGTCTTCATTCCTCTTATCGGTAGTTTTGTTTCCTGCATCCTCTATACTCTTCAGTCACCATGTTTTATCTTCCCCTCTCCACTCCTCATAATCTTAACCTTTAACTTCTTTTGTCTCCATCTCGTCTTCCTATGTCCCCTCTTCATTCTCTTATCTATTCTCCTACTCCTTTCTTCTTCAGATTCTTTTTCTACTTCCTTATCTTCTTTGTCTTCCTTCTTTATTTTTTGTCATTTTTATTAAATTTTAAAAAAATCCTACTTCAAATACCAGCTGCTTCTTTTTGCGTCTTGTCTCCCACAGTGTAAATGCTCTCAGCAACCTCACGGAAAGCCCTTCATAAACGAGTCTATGAATCCTACTATTCTACGAGATGACATACAAGTAAAGAACCCTTGCCCACGGATCCAGGCGTATTTGGGCATATAGGGCGAGACCTATATTCTCAAAATCAGCTAGCAATAGGTGGGTGATGTGGTCAACACCATGACAGCTGCCTTTACTTTCCATGACTCTTCCTCGTATCCATCTTAGGGTCGACCTGGGAGCCAAGGCCCTTTTTGAAATAAGTCTGACTCCATCAGGACCCAAACCCACGACTTTGGATCCTCTGGAAGCGTATAGGGTGATATAGGTGGCCCCTAATCCTCCCTGCTGAGAGAGATCGAGCCAAATGGGATCTATGAATTCGGCTCTCTTGCCTTTGAATCTTATTAAACTTTTATTTGTCTTTAGCGTCTTCTAAGAAAAGTTAATCAACCAAAGCCCTGCTAACTTGCGATGTCAGTCACACTCACACGCCCTTCTCCACCCTAAAGACACCCTGTAACAAAGCTGGAGTACAGCATGGTGAAGCACGTCTGTGTTGTCTTCGAGGTCGAGATAGCAGACAATATAACCAGCTTCTCATGGGAACAATTAGAAAAAAAAAGTACTTTGGAGTAGCTGCTGCATTGCAGGACTGGGCACGCATGGGAATGCCCGATATGCAGTGACGTCGATTGTGATAACATAACATAACTGACCTGACATGAAGAAAAAAATCCTGGAACTTGAAATTTCTCAAACAAAACTTCAGCCAATTTCTCTTTGTTCTCGGTTGGGTTTTTGGGCGTCTCTGTTACTAGAACTGGGCGCTCCTGTGACTTGATTGAGAGTTTACTCTGTTGACAATTGAACATGCAAATAGTCAGTTTCACACAATCGTTAAAGATTAATTAACTTGTGAATAGCTCTTTTTGTGTTCTTTTGCATCGAAGCACCCCAAGAATATTTATAATTTTATCAGTTTCTAGTAATTGTCTGGAAAGAAGAGGCAACGTGGAAGGAAACTGGTTGCCTTGTATGTCATTGCCTAGAATATGTGAATACCTAACACTGATCAGGCCAGTTTCGCCCTAATTACCTTAACGTCTTTTGCCTTTATCTTTTTCAGTTCCAGAAGATCTTGAGCTCATGTGCAAATAAAGTATTAATTACCGCAACAAAATTATGGGTATTCTACATCCACAAGGGCTAAATACACAACCTTGTAGCAGTCGTGTGTGTTTTTGTGTGTGGGTGTTTTACAACTTCCTGTCTAACATAAAATGTACAAGCATAAAATATTTTGACTGGTAAAGTAAAAAGTAAAGGACCCTTATCTACACCTTCAGGCGAATTTGGTATATAGAGCTAGACCTATATTTATAGACCAATCCACCCTCGGTGGGTGATGAAGTCAACATCAGCCTTTACTTTCCGGGACTTTACCTGGCACCCATTTAAGGCTCGGTAGACCTGAGATAAAGGGTCTGAAACCTGGACTATCGGATTCGCAGGCGAGTGGCTAGCCGCTAAATCCTGGCAGCACCCTTTTGTGACTGGGACAATGAGTAAATACAGTCACACATGGCGGCTTGTTTAGCCCTGAAAGAGTTAATGACATATTCGTGTCTAGGAGCTCCAGGTTGTACTCCTGCATCTAACAGCTTGGACGTGGATACGGAGTTAAGAGCGTACATTGAATACCATCATATTACTAACTGGTCTTGAATGGGTGCCTCCTAAATTCCCCCCACATGCAGGAAATGAGTTAAGGAGGTGTTGTCAGCAATGTGTGTGTGTGAGAGAGAGAGAGAGAGAGAGAGAGAGAGAGAGAGAGAGAGAGAGAGAGAGAGAGAGAGAGAGAGAGAGACAGCTTGCGACACAGTCAGATTTTTTTCCTACTTATCATCATTAACATACCTGGAAAATGTGGTCCAATAGAATCTCCATGCTGTCCCAGTCAGTGACCACGCCTCTCTGCACCGGATAGGACAGGGCGTGAGTAGACTCTGAGTTCAGGGCATCTTGACCAAAATAGTTCTTGGAGGCTCCGCCCACAGACACCTGCTGTAGTGTAGCAAAAGTAAAGTAGTGGATCCTTTAACACCAGTGGACATCAGGAAATGCTCATATCAGTTTAGCCCAATCGGCACTCAATTGTTATTGTATTCAATATCACGACAGTCACCTTTACTTCCCAGGACATAAGCTGGTACCCCTTTTAGGCTGGGTCGTCCTGGAAGCCATGTCAGTTTTGAAACCAAAACATCCGACTTGATGCGGACTGCAAATCAAAGCCCTCATGCGAGAATGCGAACGTCTAGACAGACACTGTGCTTTTGCAATTCTCTGTTATAGTAGATGGCACCTATCGGAATATCCACACGATAGAGGTATATTTTGCTAAGTCTGGTCTGGTAGTCTTAGTTTCAGCTTCATAACAAACGGGTTGCCCCATCTTTGCTCCGCTCCTGTGCCAGCGAAAAACACTCAGAATGTCTATCACAGTCCCTTGTGGAAAGATTGACAGACTGCTGTCTCAGCATATCTAGCATACACTCGCATTAAAGCATATGGTAGCCATCCGAAGTGCTAACACAAACAGTCCAACATTAGAAATGCAGTTCATCATTGATGATAGCAGAACTTGTCGTCAACAGATCAGCAGTTGTCCGCGTGATCAATTTTAATACGGGTCCCGCAAGCATTGAACGACAGTCATCGCGCCATTTTCTGAATCTACAATTCACACCACCACGTTGGTCACAGTCGAAAAAAAAACATTCCAAATGCAATCCGCAGCTCACAGGGTCACGCCATGCATTCAACTCAGAAGCTGGGCGACGAAACTATATCCAGTCTACAAATGGAGCAAAAATGCATCGGCCACCGTCCGGCAGAAGCAAAAAATTTGCCTCTGTTCCGAACGGCGCCGCTGTCTAGCGTCCATTTTAACCATTTGCTAAGAAGAGGCATTGGATTCACAGCCTATGGTGATTTCCTGTGTAGTATTGTATTATATACAGTGTATGTATGTAGATATGTATTTGTGTATATATGATAAAGATCTAAGAATAATAAAAACAAAAAACATATACTGACAACAAAAAGCAGCCATAAGGACTTACAACAAAGATGGAACTTTTGAAAGCATTTTCAAAATGCTACTAATATTACTACTATTACTACTAACATTACTACTAATATTAATAATAATAATCAAAGTAGTAATAATAATAACACAATGACTATCAGGGAGCCGTCGTGGTGTAGCGGCTAGACGTTCGCCAGCAAGTCCGATGGTCGTGGGTTCAGGACCTGACGGAGCCGGACCTTTTTTTTTCCCCAAAAATGACCTTGGCTACCAGGTTGACCCAGCCTTAAATGGGTACAAAGTAAAGTCCTGGGAAGTAAAGGTGGCCTGTATGATTTTGACCACAACGCCCGCCGAGTACCGGTTAGTCTCTAAAACATAGGTCTTATAGGCCCACGGGGCGTGGAAAAGAGTCCTTTCCTCTACTTACTTACAACTATCACTGCAATAACCTCTGAATGTTGAACTTAGAATCGACATTACAGCACTCGGGACACTTCCATAAGTGCTGTGTCCCCATCTTCAGCAGCAAGCGAAGAGTTCCAATTCCGATGGCACCAGTAGCCGTCTGAATGTATATGCGTCTCATCCTTCGCCTGAGACTTGAGCGTCGGCCACATCCACTGGTAACTCCTCGCAGCGCCATTCTCCTCATACCGTTTTGATCCATCTGCGCATCCGCACTGTTCACTCGTTTCCAAATCGCCCTTACTTAATAACTTCTATAGCTAAATACTGGACATGGCTAGTTAAGTACACACGATACACAGGAACAACAAAAACCTACCTGCTGGGCTTGCCGACCGACAACCGTGGAGATGACCGCCTTTGGTTCGTGGTCCCCGGCAAAGCCAACTTTACAGGAATCTGATCCAATGTCAAGGACAACAGCGCTGCCACTTCCGAGTGCCATCTTTTACCGAGATCTGGTTAAAAGGCCAGAGGTTAAAGTTGAGAGGACCGATTCCATTGCATAGTGTGTCATTCTGTACGTCTCGGTCTCATTCGGGAGAACGGCTGGACGTCTGGCGAGACCGTCGCTCAAAGCACGAACTCCGCAGTTTTAGCGACAATGGCCAGGGATCTCTGTAAAAACTGTAGTCGTGAGCTGAAACGCCCATCCACGAAACAAACCCACGACCTTCAGTGAGTGAGGCAAACGGCTTGACCAGTAATCTAGTTAAAAGTGACTAACAGAATCTCTGGCTAAATGCACCCTGGTACTTTTCCTAGTAAAGTGAAGGAACCTTTTCCCACATCTTCAGGTGTACCAGGCATGCAATGCTAGACCACACGTTTGTAGACTAATCGCTTTACTTACAGGACTTGATCTGGTACCCATTGAAGGCTGGGTCGACCTGGGAGACAAGGTAATTAAAAAAAAAATCCAGCTCCGTACAGATTCGAACCCACAACTTTCGTATACGAAGGCGAGCGTTGCTTTCTGTAGAAATACAATTTTCTTGTCGGTGTCCATGTCGAAAGGGTAAGGCCGTTGACCTCTCGCTTGGCAGGTTGTGGTTTCTGTTGACGGACGCGTCCTTCGGTTCAAAAGTGCTGCTTTAATGGAGATCCCTAGAAGACTTCGCTGGAGCTTCAGATTTCGTGCTTTTGCGACTCTCTCAGCAGGGAGCTAACTGTTACACGGAGAGAGACCCATCATCTCGACTGTTATTATAATATTATTATAGCTTTAACTTTAGTAATGGAGTCGCCGTTGCGTTGAGGGCTAGACGCCCGCCTGCAGAGCGTAACGTCGTGGGTTCGCGTCCTGACAAGGCCCGACTTAAAAAAAAAAATCACCTCGACTCCCAGGTTGGCCCAAGCTTGAGTGGGGACCAGGTACAGTCCTGGGAAGGAAAGGCGGCAAGCATGATGCTGATCACATCACCCACTAAGTGTCGATTGGTCTATAGAATCATAGGTCAAGCCCTAAATGCCCAACACACCGGAAGACGTGGAAAAGGGTCCTTTTTTTAACTTTACTAAAAGTTAGACAGACTAAGTTTTACCGAACTCGGTTCTTAATTTATAACGTACCCCAAACACGAAATCCCCGTGGGAAATCCACAGCTGACCTGACAGTCCATTATTTCAAGGGGTGGAAGTGTGCTGTTGTGTGGTGCTTTTTTGAGTGTTCATCTAGTGTCTTCTAATGCTAACCCTAACCCTAACACTAACCCTAAACTTGGCTGTAGATAAATAGCGAGAAACTACAACCTGAACACCCTAGAATTGATTGGGAATGTCTCCCGTGACGTTGTCGTGACGTCAGGGGTAAGTTATAAATTAAGTACCCCAAACTCTTGACAACCTTGAAGCCATGCAAATACCATAATATTTTCTATGGCGTTGATTGACACTTACAGAAGTGACGGGAAGGGGCTCTCTGCTGCAGCCAGAGTAAACCGTTTGTCTCCTGATTGTTGCAGTGCTGAAATCTTTGGGATGTTCTTGTTGTATCCACTGTAATCTGTTTGTTTGTCTCTTTTGTGAGAGGAGCGGCTGGCCGAATAGAGATTTGTTTTTCGTTTCTTTGTCAGGGGCAAAATAAAAAGCCTAACCTGCACAGATCGTGGCGGCTGCATCAGCCAAGCAGACTTAAATGGTAGTAATGACAGTTTTTTTTTTTTTCTGATAACATAAAATGCGTTAATCCATTCGCCCTGTAAGGGTTGACCAAGATTATTATTTGTTATCATGTTGTTAGGCTCGTGGTGTATCGACTGGACTCTCGCCTGGAGATCCGAATGTCCTGGGTTTAAAAATGACCTTGGCTCCCACGTCGATCTAGTTTTAGATGGATACCAGGAAAAGTCCAAGGAAGTGAAGGCGGTCGGCGTGATGTTCGCCACATCGCCTACGAGTGCAGATTGGTCTATAAAATCTAGGTCTAGCCCTATATGCCCAGTTCGTTGTAAGGCGTGGAGAAGGATCCTTTTATGTTGTTCGAATGACCTCAGTGGTTTCTCAGCGCCTGGCTCTTCTGTGTACCACGGCCCAGCATTTATTACGACACAGAGACTTTGCGACTCTCTAGCATTCAGCTGAGATGCACATGTTGCAAAACGGGTTATCCATGGTAAGCAGATGTGACCTGTTCGTTTGAGTCATCCGGTTGACACTTGTCGCGGTTGCCCGGGCACAGCTGTTTGTGTCGTCTGTCTGTGTGACTGTACGTATGGTGCAAGTGTTTGTGTGTGTATGTTTGTATGTGTGTGTACGAATGTGTGTGTTTGTGATCTGTTGACTGTTTGAAAGCTGCGCATACTGCCAGATGTGCATTGACGTGCATTATAAACTAATAGAGAATATTGACAACATTCCTTCTTTCGACATTGCAATAATATGCAATAGAGGAGCATAGGAATCACAAGTAAAGAGACTAAGGTACTATTCTGTTATTTTACCCCATCTTGGAAACTCCGAGATTCCTAGGGGATTGCCCGGACATTTCCTTTTTATAGGGGGTTAGGGTTTAGTTTCTTCTCCTTTTTGTTGTTTTTTCGCTCAGCCGAAATAGATTATCTGTATCTGCAATGTGTGATTCACTCAGCCACCAGTTTGACTTCAAACAGTTTCTCCTTGCCAGAACTTAAGGGCTGGGATACGAACTAGGGATTTTGGGGGCGGGTCCTGACAAAAGGGCATTTTGGGGTGGCGATAGGGGCCCGCCCTGAAAAGGACTGACAGTCTGCATGTATGTATACGGGTGGGTTAGGACTAGGGTTAGATGTAGCAATGCTGACAGGTCAAGGAAATTTCTGCTAAAGGCAAGTCACCAAGAAAGAAAACTGCTTCCAGTCAGCACACGATGATGGCGACAATGAACAAAATAATAAAACTTGATAAAGCTGAAAACAACTAACACACGCCCCCCCCCCCCCTCTTTTCTCTCTCTTTATACCCCGCCCCGCTCCCGAAATATAGGACTTTCCAGGTAACTAGCTAGGAATTGCCTACAAACTTTCAGAGCTCCCGAGATGGGGTGGGGGAAAAAAAAGATGATATACCAAGAATGATACACTGATAAGCTTCTCTCTCTCTCTCTCTTTCTCTCTTTTTCTATTTCTCTTTTTTTCTGAATGCTCTCTACTTCCCTTATTTCTCTTACTTTCTTTGTTTTTTGCTCACACACTCTGTGCCTGTGTGTGTCTAAGTATGTGCCTGTGTGTATGTATGTATGTATGTATGTCTGCGTGTGTGTATCTATGTGTGTGGGTATATGTGTGTTAACGTGTGTGTTAGTGTGTTTATGTGTGGGTATGTGTATGTCTGAGTGTGTATGTCTGTGTGAGTGTTTGTGTTTGTCTGTCTGTATGTGTGTGTCTGTGTGTGTATGCCTGTGTGAGTGTTTGTGCATGTCTGTGTATGTCTGTGTCTGTCTCTGTCTGTGTTTGTCTGTGTGTGTGACTTTATGAAAATGTCTGTGTGTGCATGTCTGTGTGAGTGTTTAGGGGTGTGTTTGTGTGTGTACATGTCTGCGTGTGTGTGTCTGTGTATGTCTGTGTGAGTGTATGGATGGATGAATGGATGGATAAATGTATATATGTATGTATGAGTGTGTTTATGTATGTGAATGGATATGCATGTGTGTGTAAGTGAGTGCGTGGGCGTGTGTGTGTGTGTGTGCGAATGTGCGCATGCATTGTACTGTCCATTTTTCTTCTTCTTGATATTCACAATATGCATATTATTATATGAACACAACAGGCTTTTTTGGGAGTGGAGGGGTGGAGGGGTGGAGGTGAGGGGAACAAGACCTTCCACCAACAAGCTTGGCGTAAAAGTCGACTAATTAGAGGTGTTCGCCTCGAAGTCTGAGTGCATCCGCCGGGAAGGTGAGAAATCAGCGGGCTACATAGAAATAAGCTAAGTGCAGAAGTGGACAAACAGCCGGAGTTTACAACCTATGAATGCTAATAATAATAATAATAATAATAATAATAATAATAATAATAATAATTATAATTATAATAATAATAAAGAGAGGCTGTGCTTGGCAAACCAACACGTGCTCACAGCTTCAGTTCACCAAAATCGACGTGCTTGTGTGAAGTGTGATGGTTTGGAAGAGCTGACTACACAGGCGACCATTGAAGCAACAACCCACACCCAGGGCTACAGTGAACAAGTCTAACATGAAGCCAGGAGCAAATCCACAGAGATACATCGTCGCTAACGCCTGTCGGCAAAGTAAACGAAGAAGCGCAAGACCTGTATAGGAGGCAGTGAGTTTATTAAACAAGACATCCAACAGGTAGAAAGATTTAAACTGGGAACAGTCAACAAACTGTTAGCATTTACCAACTTAACATGAACACATCCTACCTGTTGAAGTGCGGCGATGAATAAGTTCTCATAAATCGAGCACTGATGTGTAAGCGGGCCGGTGTGTGGTGAATCTATACACATAGAAATCAACAAGCTGCGGCTGTCGCGCTCGATTTCACACAGCTCAGAGTTTGTCGATAGAGCCACGGAATCCCAGCCGTGTAACTAGCGATGCTTACACAGCTACCACACCCATGCAGTGGGGATTTCAGTTGAGAAATAACTTGATGATAAGAAGTAACGGATGTATAATCTGTAAGGGAACTGTTAGCGTTCCAGATACAGTTTAGAGTTTGATTTTTGTGTCTGCCTTGTTTCGAAAAATGTGTAATGCTATCTTTGGGTGAGAGGTGCTGGTGCCTAGGATTTACGGAAACCACTTAGCAAGATAAACACAGGGGAGGGGGCTAGGGGAGGGGGAGGAGGAGGGGAAGAAAGATGAAAGTGACAAATTTAGACAGTTGGGACTTGTGTAAAAAATAAAGGTTAAAATCAACTTTATTGAGACATCAGATTACACAGAGCAATGGCAGCTACCTGCTGATTGGAAACCGTAAGGAGGGGAGGAGGAGGGGAAGG